AGGAAGAATAGTTGCAATATGTACGACATCCATAGGTTGGTTTTCCTTTTTCAGCATTTCGTTAAATGTATCAGCAATATCCTCACTTGAGATTCAAAAAAGTTTTTGTGTGACCCTCTTTTTTTTGACCTTGAACATAAGTCTTCGTATGACTTGCAAGGCGCTCCTGTTGATGTGTTGTAAGTTGAGATTTCCGTAGTAGTTTCCATCCAACTACAAAATTTTAATCGAAATTTCTCTTGATTTCCATCCACAGACTTACTTTTTACATCAAAAAGTTTTCAATTTTTGATATGCCTGTTTTGTCTACTTTTCTACTATATGTAGTTTTTATATAATTTGAAATGTCTTCAATTCTTTCTGGCCCTTTTGAAGATATACTCCATAAAACGGAACACAACTCTTCGTACTTTAATGTAATCTTCATTGTAGATTTATTAAATATGGTACTTAAAATCTGAGAAGTTTACTTATATACCAATTCTTGTCATTTCCGATACAGGTATTCCAAAGTAAAAAATTACGAATTGTCTACCTATTAACATTTAGGACTATATTACTATAACCTGTAATTCAGTCATTGATATTCTTATTAGTGAATGAATCGAAATTATCATTACCTGTATATTTTTACCTACATGATCATAAACGAAACAGAACGAAATGATCTGTCGAAAAAATTTAGGTAAAAAATAGTTATAAATTTTTGAAAATTTAAGCATAATAGACCCTTTCAATTATAAGGATAAGCAAACAAATAGAAAATAGGAAAATATAAGATTTAAATATGTTCTGTCATACTTAATACTAAAATATGAAAAAGATGAAATTAAAGGACACAGGTTTAAATGAACATATTTTTGAATGTAATTGAGATATTGGCTTGAAATTTTTTGTAAAGGGTCGAGAATTTCCATATCTAACTAAAAAATGATATTAAGGGATAAATATGGACTAAATTGTTGTAGCTATCTGCGATCCTATTAAAATTTTGATATAAATCATAGTTTTAGAAATTAAACAAATATGTAATATATGACAAAATCTTTATTTATGAACAAAACTCAATGAAATTTTCAACGCTTGTTAAATTTGTCATTTCAAATAAGAATATGCAAAAAAAAGTTGAAAAGGTCAAAGGGCATCCCGCAATTCCCAAAAATAGGAATGAAAATCCCAAAAATGGGATTTTTTACTTTTTTGCCCATAGGGTCCACATTTCTTTCAGGGCTGGGAAAATACTTTTGGAGTAAATAGAAAACATATTGAGGTTTCCAAAAATGCTTTCAGTTTTCTGATCCCAGCTTTGGGATTTTAGAACATGTCGCCCAAATTTGAAGTTTTGATAAAAAATAGGTCATATTCGGAAGGACGCAGTGGCAACATTTTCAAAAAATAGGACAAGTTTTTTACGCCAAAGCGTTCTGCGTAAAGATACCTTTTAGAAAACTATAAAATTGTTATATGTTCTTAAAGAAAATTTTATTTTATTAATAAAAGAGTTAAGACACATTTTTGGCAAAAAAAACGCCAAAAATCTAAAATTTTTTGAATTTTTAAATTAAAAAACGTATATTTTTGGATCTGTAAACGATATTGATCTGAAATTTTTTGTATATTATTGGAAATTTTGTTGTCTAACAACAGGAGAAAATTGAGTTCATTTGGTCCAAAATTACGCCCGGTATTCTAAAAAAGGCGGACCAAGGTATGGTAAATTTTGTATCACTAAATTTTTAAATGCCTATAACTCGGATATTATAAGAGATAAGTAGTATGTCCAAGCAAGTTTTTTCAAGATCTCGTCGAGCGCTTTCACAAAGTATAAAAATCTTTGTATTTGGGTGAAAAACAAAAAAATGGCACGAGTTTAAAAATTTTACATGTCGTAGGTACCCTACTTTGAGCCGCCACAGCGCCGTCCCTGGGGCATCTGCAGGGTTCATCTTCAAAACTTAAACTCGAATACTCCTCGGCTACGCTCACGCCAAATTTTATCCCGATCGGATCAGCCGTTTAGAAATGCCAGATTTATTTCCAAAAAATTTCCATTCTGCCCCACTGTGCAGCCTCCGATACGAGGTTTGCATGGAGGTGGTTAATGATCTGCCAAAACCCCCATATCCAAGCCCCATGGACGAAACAATTAAAAGTAAATTGTGTCGCATCGCTGGCTGACCCGGAGTTTTACTCCAACAACCCAGTCTCCATGGAAATTGGTGGAGACCTTTACACAAGCATCCTACAACCGAATGTGATTCACATTGGTTGGCTTGTCATGGGATCATCTACCCAAGAAACAACCATATAATGAAGTATTTTATATACACATTTTACCCTATTACCCCACACCCTTTTTATTGAATAAATAAAAATAATTGTTCCTTTCTCTTCACAGGCCCGGGAGGATGTTCACATCAGTGAACAATTGAACGTTACCATCCCTGATGTCCAATAACACCCACACTAAACTGCAGCCAACTTCATTCTGCATAAATGTCAACTGCAGCCCTACACTTTTTCTTCACTTAACTTCTATTCAATTTATCTGAAGAAGAACAAACAAATCTGTGCGCCTCGTTAACCCGGCAGTTTTAAAGTTAACAAGTTAGAGTGCTATATTCGGCTGAGCCAAATCTTAAATACCCTCCACCAGCTACTTTTATATTAATACTTTTTTAATTGATCAAATATTTGTAGAAATAAGTTTTCTCATGTCTTAAATAGAAAAACAGCTTAAATCTGTTACAATTCCAAAATTTATTGAACATTACATTTTCTTTTATATTTTTATAGCGCCCTAAAATATGCTCTAACGATATTTAATAATGTACATGTATGCATGTGTGTGAAAGATTTAAGGACTTTCAAAATACATATATATAATTTTGTTCTACACAAATTGATAATGCAACTAGTTAAATACGGTTAAAGTGCTTTTAGGGGCAGGACCAATTATAGACCGACCGTAAAAAATACTTTAAGCAAAATTTCTGTACATAAAAGCTATATTTTAGTAAAATGTTGTATCTATATCGTAATTTAGTAATAAGTAATGTGTGCTTTCGACAACACCTCCTCTTTGTGCATACCAAATTTCATTAAAATCGGATTAACCGTTTAGAAGTTACCGAATTATTTCCCTCTTTTTTTTTTTCCTATACCACTGTGTAATGTGCATGTATGCATGTGTGTGAAAGATTTAAGGATTTTCAAAATACATATATATAATTTTGTTCTACACAAATTTTTTTAGGGGCAGGACCTAGTATGGGAGATATGACCAATTATAGACCGATCGTAAAATATTCTTTAAGCGAAATTTCTGTACATAAAAACTATATTTCAGTCAAATTTTGTATCTATATCGTAATTTAGTAATAAGTAATGTGTGTTCAAGTGATTTTCTGAAGGGACACTTGCATGGGACCGACCGCACCCATGTTATAGATCGATCATGAAAAAATCTTGAAATATAATTTTTGTATACCAAACTAATATTTGTGCCAAATTTGTAAGGAACCTCCGGTTATTCCGGGTTTGAAGCTGGGGTAGTGCTCAGTCTAGTCCAGGATTCCTTTACATAAAATTTTAATACACGCTTTCAAATGTTCTTTTTTTTTCTCTCGAGCTTTATTACTTTTATGCTTATATATATTTGTTTTTTTTCTTTGCAAGTATTTTTAATACTTATATCACTTAACACGAACTTGTCTCGCTGGCCGGGTTGTGAACGTGTGACGCGTGTCGGTGTCCCTCCAATCCTGCCCTCTAACTCCTACCTTTGGGAATATCTAGAATGTAAATTCCAGAGATTATCTCTTGTTCCTAACTCTTCCGAGTGTAAACTTCCAGGAAGATTTCTATCGCTTTTGCCCTGAGCCAGTGCTTGCCTACGGTTTTTCTTCTAGAATGTAATTCTAGAGTTCTCTCTTGACCCTAATTTTCCCGAGTGTAAACTTCCAGGGAAAATGTCTATCACCTCTGCCCTAATCTTCCTCTAGCAGATGTAAATCCGTTAAAGGTTTTTGTTTGTCCACTGATTGTAAACCAGAGACCTAATCTTAGCCTTACTGTGTTTCTTGCTAACCTAGCACTGCCCACTGTAGTTTTCTTACCGACACACACGTCTTAGCTGTTCACCTGTTACACCGCAAAAGAGACTGACTGTTCGTTTACATCCTCTTTTATAGTCCTCAGTAACTACAACTCCTGTAGTTTTGTAGTGATGCTCCTCTCATAGGTTTGAACCGTTAACGGTTTTACAGCTTATTCTCCCCATCTGACTGTCCTCTCACTCTCTCAGGTTGGATATCCTCTTGTTCCCTCTTGCGGAATATATTTCTTCTCTCTTGCTGAATTCCTCTCTTGCTGAATATCTTTCTTCTCTCTGGCTGAATATCCTTCTCTTTCTCTCTGGCTGAATTCTCTTTGGCTGAATCCTTCTCTCTATGTCACTGTTCTGTTACTCTGTTGGGCTGAATTGATCGTTCTATCTGAAAAGAAACAAACACACATTGGCGGATGTAATCCGCCCCCCTTTGATGGATGTAATCCATTGCCCACCAAGTCAAACACTGATCAAATAGACATTTTATGTATTTATTTCAAAAACTACAATAAAAGAAATTGTGGGGTTCAAAATGGCAACATTTTGGGTCCTTACACTCCCTTCTTTCTTCCCGGTAGACAACGGACGGTAACATTCCCAGACGCCGAGACACGTATTCGATACGACTTTCCCCTTACGTCCCGTCGGAAACACACTTTTTTCCGTTTTTCTACCGCTGCAGCGATTTCTATCATAATCTCCGCCGGTAGTTGCTGCTCCCCGTCAACCTCGAGCGGGAAATCCGGTTCTGCACTGACTGGTGGGGATGGGGACGTTCGGGGAGGCGTGACTGGGGAACCATTGGGTTGTGCCATTGCCTGGTGGAATGCCTCTTCAAGGCTTCCCAGACTTATGTCGCCTAGGGAAAGCGCATCCTCCTCAAAGCCGCTTAAGCGAAGCTCGTCACCGTCGTTGGATTAATCGGGGTCTCCTCTGCCGTGGGTACAATTTGTCGAGCCCTATCATCTCTTCGATGAGCCTGTCGAGTGTCACGGTGATCATGACTTACCTCGGGATGGTGTGTTCGTATTACCTCGAAATCTTCGGCCATCTGAATCAGCTCTTCTAGGGACTGAAAATCTTTCCTTCTTATGTACATTTGATAGTCCACAAGGCAATTCCTAAATAATCTATCCACCTGCTGTTCGTGTGTGTATCCCGCGTGTCTCATCATGTTTTGTAATACGATGACAAAGTCTTTAAAGGTTTCTCGTGGTTTTTGCTGTCTTCGGCGAATTTCGTCGTCAAGCCCTTCAAAATATCGGGGTGGCAGGAAAAACTTCAGAAAGTCATCCTTAAAGCTTCTCCATGTGTTCCACTGATGGTTATTGTTTCTGAACCACAGCAGCGCCGCTTCTTTAAGCAATTCTGGCATTGTCCGGGGTAGCATATTTTTGTCCAGACCATAGACCTCCGCGAGTTCTTCTACTCGCTCAACAAAAGCAATGGGATCTTTTCCGCCCTCATAGCGAAACGACCATTTCCTGACTATGTCGATCACGGTTGAGTAGTGTGGACTTTGCTGAGGTGGACTCGTAGCCGATTGCGAACTCCGTTCATTGTGTGGTGATGGGCACAACAGGTGGCCTGAGGCTGATTGCTGTCCCATTCTTGTTGCCATATGTGACACTGTTGGCACGTCTAGTTGTGTGGACATACCTGGGGTTGTGGGTGTTTGGCACCGGCCGTGCTTGTTTTCTAGCTCCTCTAGCCTGGTGAGGACCTTTTCCTTGTGTTCACCGGATATAAATGTGGCAAACCTCTTCCTCATTTCTTCTACGGTACCACTGGCATCTAGATCGAATTCTTCCAGATATTGCACCAATTCATCCTTTCGTAGGGTATATGCCCAGGACGTACGCACCATGATTTCTTGTCTCTTCTTTTATTACCTTTTTGTGTGTTGATCAAAAGGGTCCCTGCTCGGGCGCCAATTTAAGGAACCTCCGGTTATTCCGGGTTTGAAGCTGGGGTAGTGCTCAGTCTAGTCCAGGATTCCTTTACATAAAATTTTAATACACGCTTTCAAATGTTCTTTTTTTTTCTCTCGAGCTTTATTACTTTTATGCTTATATATATTTGTTTTTTTTTCTTTGCAAGTATTTTTAATACTTATATCACTTAACACGAACTTGTCCCGCTGGCCGGGTTGTGAACGTGTGACGCGTGTCGGTGTCCCTCCAATCCTGCCCTCTAACTCCTACCTTTGGGAATATCTAGAATGTAAATTCCAGAGATTATCTCTTGTTCCTAACTCTTCCGAGTGTAAACTTCCAGGAAGATTTCTATCGCTTTTGCCCTGAGCCAGTGCTTGCCTACGGTTTTTCTTCTAGAATGTAATTCTAGAGTTCTCTCTTGACCCTAATTTTCCCGAGTGTAAACTTCCAGGGAAAATGTCTATCACCTCTGCCCTAATCTTCCTCTAGCAGATGTAAATCCGTTAAAGGTTTTTGTTTGTCCACTGATTGTAAACCAGAGACCTAATCTTAGCCTTACTGTGTTTCTTGCTAACCTAGCACTGCCCACTGTAGTTTTCTTACCGACACACACGTCTTAGCTGTTCACCTGTTACACCGCAAAAGAGACTGACTGTTCGTTTACATCCTCTTTTATAGTCCTCAGTAACTACAACTCCTGTAGTTTTGTAGTGATGCTCCTCTCATAGGTTTGAACCGTTAACGGTTTTACAGCTTATTCTCCCCATCTGACTGTCCTCTCACTCTCTCAGGTTGGATATCCTCTTGTTCCCTCTTGCGGAATATATTTCTTCTCTCTTGCTGAATTCCTCTCTTGCTGAATATCTTTCTTCTCTCTGGCTGAATATCCTTCTCTTTCTCTCTGGCTGAATTCTCTTTGGCTGAATCCTTCTCTCTATGTCACTGTTCTGTTACTCTGTTGGGCTGAATTGATCGTTCTATCTGAAAAGAAACAAACACACATTGGCGGATGTAATCCGCCCCCCTTTGATGGATGTAATCCATTGCCCACCAAGTCAAACACTGATCAAATAGACATTTTATGTATTTATTTCAAAAACTACAATAAAAGAAATTGTGGGGTTCAAAATGGCAACATTTTGGGTCCTTACAAATTTTGTATCAATAGCTTTATTTGGTAATGAGTAATGTGCGTTTAAGAGATTTTCGTAAAAGGACCTTGTATGGGAGCTAGGACCAATTATGTATATAAAGACAAAATTTCAAAATTCTGTATCTATATCATTATTTGGCAATGAATATTGTGCATTTAAGTGATTTTCGGGAGGTGACCTTGTATGGGAGCTGCGACCAATTATGGACCGATCGGAAAAAAATTGCATACAAATATTTCTGTATATGAGATATCTTAATTTAGTAATGAGTTATGTGCGTTTAAGTAATTTTCGGGAAGGGACCTTGTATGGGAGCTATGACCAATTATGGACCGATCGGAAAAATATTTCATAGTAATATTTCTGTATACGAGAGCAATACTAGTTCCAAATTTTATATGGATATCTTAATTTAGTAATGAGTTATGTGCTTTTAAGTGATTTTCGGGAGGGGACCCAGTATGGGAGCTATGACCAATTATGGACCGATCGGAAAAAACTTTCACAATAATATTTTTGTGCATATGAACAATACTTATTCCAAATTTTATATGGATATCTTAATTTAGTAATGAGTTATGCGCGTTTAAGTGATTTTCGGGAGGGGACCTTGTATGGGAGCTATGTCCAATTATGGACCGATCCAAAAAATGTTTTCTCCCAATGAATTCTATTGACATAAGAATTTAATTTGTAAAATTTTGTGAAGATATCAACATTCTAACGGAAGTTATTAACAAAAAACTCATTTTCCGGGAATATGTACTTTTGTATGGGAGGTATATGAAATTATGGACCGATTCTGGCAATTTTCAGCAGGAATCAATACCTTGTGTAGAAACAAACGTATGATGACTTTCATGAAATTATCTTGCATAGTTTTCGAGAAAATTACATCAGAATGTGTAAAAAATGCTTATTTTTTTCGGAGTTGTTTTAAATTTTGATTCATAACTTTTCCCGATGTGAACCGATTTTGCTCATTTTCAATACCAAACTGTACCGGATAATAGTGAATATTTTGGGTGAATTTTGTTAAATTATATTGCTTCGTTTTAACGTGAGCGTGTTTTAGACAGACAGACGGACATAGCTAAATCGACTCAGAATTTCATAAGGACCCAGAATATATATATACTTTGTTGGGTCTCAGATGAATATTTCTTGGTGTTACACACGGAATGACAAAGTTATATATACCCTCTATCATCACTGATGGTGGTGGAGGGTATAAAAATAATATTTTCAATAGAAAATTTAAAACCGCAAATTTAAAGTAAAGTGTGTCATTAAAAATAAACTATAAGAAATTGAAAATCCAAAATTAAAACTGGAAACTAAATATTTATTTGAATTTATAAAATAAATCTAAAACCCTAAACCTAAAAGCAAATTAAAATATTAAAACTTATATACTAATAAAAATAGAAATCACAGAAAAGCGTATCACAGTTTTGTTAATTAAATTATTTACCCTATAATAAATAAATATTAAAATCTAAATAAATAAATATTAAAACTTAACCCTATATATATAATAAATACTTACCACTACATTGCACATAAAATCTAACCTAAAATTTTGTGAATTATATACTTATCCTATATATAATATAATTACACTATATACTTACCCAAAGTTCAATAAATATATATATATATATATATATATATATATATATATATATATAGATATCTATATATATATATATATATATATATATATATATATATATATATATATATATATATATATATATATATATATATATATATATATATATATATATACATATATATATATATATATATATATATATATATGGTTTATAACGTTTAAGAAAATATCCCAAGCCTTTCTTATTTACCCTTCGTCTAATTCCCGCGTAAGTACTCATCTACCCATCTCCCTATAATTGGGCATAGATCCCATATAAGGTCCATTTCCGATAACCACGTAAACGCACATATTTCGTAACTGAATGAAAATATCGGTATAATATTAGTCATGAATGTGTTTATAGTAGATATGAAACACCCTGCGAAATGTTTTCCGGATCTGTCCATAATTAGTCACAGCTCCCAAATAAGGACCACTTCCGAAAATCGCTTAAATGCATATATACAATTAAGAAATAAAGATATTTTAAAACAAGAAAGAAATTATAGTCGGTCGAGGCCGACCATATAATACCCTACACCTGTTACAAAAATATAATGTGATTTAGTTTTCATAATAGAGCATTTAGTTGAATTGTACCTTGCCTCAGATATACTTAAGCCGTTTATTGTTGAATAAAATTGTGGACATTTAAGTCAAATTTTGAAGGGGGTTTTGTATAGGGGCTATGGTCAAATGAGACCCTATAATTATAAAATTCACGAGAGTCATCGAGGCTTGTATAGAACTTGGTTTTGCAGCTTTTTGTCGAGATACGAGTATATTGAACATAATTATGAACTTAAAAGCTCTATTCGTCGGGTTCAATTGTAAGGGGGCTAGGTAAAATAATGAACCAATGTTAATCAATTTCAATAGGCTTCGTCTCCGGTACCATAGAAGATGATGTGCCAAATTTCATCGAATTATCTTCAAAATTGAGACCTGAAGTTTGATTACAAGCTTTAAAAGCCCTATTTAGGGGTACAGTTGTATGGGGGCTAGGTGAAATAATGGACCGATCTAACCATTTTCAATAGGCTTCGTCTCCTGTACCATAGAAGATCATGTGCCAAATTTCATTGAATTATCTTCAAAATTGAGACCTGAAGTTTGATTACAAGCTTTACAAGCCCTATTTAGGGGTTCAGTTGTATGGGGGCTAGGTGAAATAATGGACCGATCTTAACCATTTTCAATAGGCTTCGTCCAACAATAGAAGATCATGTACCAAATTTCATTGAATTATCTTCAAAATTGCGACCTATAGTGTGGTTACAAGGTTTACATGGACAGACGGACATAGCCAAATCGACTCAGAAAATGATTTTAAGCTGATTGGTATACTTTAAAGTGGTGTAGTGTATAAATAGGCTATAAAAATAAGTTTTTTACGGATCGGTCCATAATTGTTCATATCTGTCATATAAGATCCACTTCAGAAAATCGCACATTTCATTGATAAATAAAGATATCGGCATAAGGATATTTTGTGTATATAAGAAATCTTTTTTATACCTTCCACCACCATCAGCGGTGATAGAGGGTATATATAAGTTTGTCATTCCGTGTGTAACACCAAGAAATATTCATCATCATCCTTATGAAATTCTGAGTCGATTTAGCTGTGTTGGTCTGTCTGTCCGTCTGTATGCCTCAAACACTCTCACGTTAAAACTAAGCAAAATAAATCAGCCAAATTCACTGAAAATATTCACTATTTTTCTATGCAGTTTGGTATTGAAAATCAGTCCACAAATCGGTCCACAACGTAAAAAGTTATGAGTAAAAATGTCAGACTACCTCGAAAAAAATTAAGTTTTTTTTCTAATTCTTGAGTAGTTTTCTCAGAAACTACTAAAGATAATGGAATGAATTTTGTCACACCTTATTTTCTTTACCCAGGCATAAAAAATGTTCAAACTCAAAACAATCGATTCAAAATTTCTCATAGCCCCCATACAATATATTCTCGGAAATAGATTTATCGTTAATAACTTCGGCAAAAATATCGGTATCACCACGAAATTCTGCACATATGTATATAGTAAGAACAGAAATCATATTACCAACGTAGATCTGTATAGGTCGATTATTGGTCACAGCTCCCATATTTGGTCCACTTTCGAAAAATACTTAAATACAAATAATTAATTAAGAAATAAAGATATTGCAATAATATTCAACATAAATATGTTTTGTGTATACATATATCACTTTGCAAAATATTTTTCGGATTGGTCCATAATTGGGCATAGCTCCCATATAAGGCCCATTTCCGATAACCACGTAATCGCACATATTACATAACTGAATGAATTATCGGTATAAAATTCATCATGAATGTGTTTAAAGTAGATATAAAACACCCTGCGAAATTTTTTCTGGCTCGGCCCATAACTGGTCACAGCTCATAAATAAATGCACATAACTAATTTAGAAATAAAGATATTGAAATAATATTCAACATAAATATGTATTGTGTATACATATA